GTAAAGCCCTCGAACCCGATCAATTCTCCCCGGAATTGGTCGACATGCTCAACCACCAAGGGCTTCTGGATACGTATCTCAGCATTAAAGGGGATACGTACCCCGAATTGGTGAAGGAGTTCTATCAACATTTGGTGGCCGTCAAACGAGGTGATAAACTAGAAATCACTACTAAGGTCCGAGGCAAGGAAATCATACTTTCCGAAGGCCGCTTGGCCAAGCTCTTGAGATTGACCACCACGGGTGTGTCAGACTATGACTGGAAGGGGTGGATTGGTACCCAAAACATGGGGTACAAGGACTACCTCGGGTACCTACTCGGAAAGGAGGAAGGTTTCACCTCACAGGAAATGGCTAACCGCGGAGCAAAAGATATTGGTCATGATTGTAACTGATAACCTGTTGCCCACAAATAATAAAAGCAAGGATGTGGGAAGTTTTGAATGTACTTTTGCCTACCTCTTAAAGCACAAAATCAAGTTCAATCTACCGGCCCTTATGTTGAAACACATGGAATTTTGCAAAACTAGCAACCGGCTTAGCCTACCCTACGGGATGATCCTAAGTTGGATCATGGAGAAAAAGGGGGTGGATCTAAGCCACACTGAGATCAAGACCGCAAATGGCATGGTTTTTAATGCCCAGAACCTCCGTCGCAATGATATCTACTACACCGAAGGGGGACAGTACATCACCCTCGAAAGAGATTTGCCTCAAACCTGAGGGGGAACGAAGGGAATTAGTGGATCAGTTGGATATCTCCAACATGAAATTCAAGTGAGCAATGCAAAAATGTGGGGAACCGGGGGAAAGTGAGGAACAAGAAGAGGATAGTGAGCCTAATCCGTCGGCGCCTGCACAAGCAAGAAGAAACCCAAGGGGCCAAAACGAAGAATCCATCAACGAACGCATCCTCACGCAGCTCACCCGACAGAACCAGATCATAGACGAGGGATTCTCGTCCCTAATCCGCGCAACACGCGCTTTGGATCAAAGGGTGGCAACTATCGAGGGCATGCTAGGTACTCGCGGGGCATCCAGTTCAGGAACAGGAAACCAAGGTAGACCCGAACTTTCCAATCACCACGTCACCAGAAATCCAGTCTACCCCAGCCAGGACAACGCGTGGGGCCACATTCCTAACCAGGAGGCCAAAGTACGAAGTGTCCAGGGGTGAAAGAATGGATTAACGCATCGGCTTCGGGGACGAAGCCTCCTGTAAGGGGGGGGGGGGGGGGGAGAGTGTAACACTCCGTGTTACGACCCCTAAAATCAATTAATCATTTAATCATTTACCCCAAAGAAAGAATTAAATCCCAGTAACTGATTAGGAAAAGGCCCACCATAGTCCATGGGCCCCTTATCCCTAAGACCAATCCGCTAGTCCTATAAGGAATAGAATTAGCAAGCCCATAGTATTTGGACCCTAATTGGGACCTTAGGTATATAAATAGGGGGCATAGGGGGGGGGGGGGGGGCACCTAGAACCCACACCACAATAATCTCTCACACAAGAAGTTCCAAGAATTCCCCTAGGAGAAATCAAGAAAAGAGGAGTCTTAAAGAAAGACCCTTCATAGCCAAGGAAATTAATTAAGGCTAAGAGGTAACCCATGTCTCAACAAAACCTATTTTCTTTTCTATAATCTCCTTCCTTGGCCTCCCTCTATATTCTTGTGTCTTGATTGAATTCTTCTATGATAATTATTTTATGTTCTTGATGATTGATAAGATGATTTATATGCTTTCTTAATGATCTTGATGATCTAGATGTTAAAAAGAAGTTCTTGATTATGATGTGATGATTCTTGACGAATCTTGATATTTTCTTGATGTTAAAGATAAAATATGTTCTTGATGATTTGGGTGGGATTAGAGCCCTAGGTCGGATTGGGAATTTGTATTGTGATGTTCATGATTTATATTTGGGTGGGAATTCGCATGTTCGGGTGTTGTTTATATTTAGAAGTCCTACATGATTCTTGCTTTTGATCCGTTAATTACTTACGTGGTGTCGTTATTTGCGTTTAAAAGTGTCTAAGCATGGTTTCGGGTTCCACAAAGGTTCCCGGGACGAATATATGAGAAAAGAGTCAGTGGGGGGTAGGTGGGGGTTGGAGGACCCACCACCTACCCGCTGCCCAAAGGGGCACTGCCCGGCAGCGGGAAACCGACCGCCCGCCGGCAACCTGCTGCCCGGAACAGTGCCCTCCGGCGGGCAGCCGGCGGGTGACCCCCACCCACCGGCTACCCGCTGGTCCGTACCCCACCCCGGGTCCCCGGCTTCCCCGTTTGATGTTCCCCATTCCCTGTGGTGTCCCAATAGACCCTGTTTGTCATGCTTGAGTCTAGTTTGATGTTTCGGGTTCCATTCGTAGGCTAGATGATTCTTAGGGATTGCATGCTAGTTGAATTGGTAGACCGTTGACCTAGGTGGAAGACGTATGAACCCCTTAGGACGATTCTTAGTATGTGAATGATCACACATAAGTTTAATTATATGCCTCCCCCTTCCCAATGTGCTATTATGTGCTATAACGTGTTATGTGATGCATGATTCCCCAATTTGGCTGCGATCAAATTGGCTATACAGGTAGTTGGATGGGTTGAGAACCATACCAACTGTTAACCAGGCCGGTTGCGATCGGTCAGGTATATAAATATTATATAGGGCTGCGGTCCACTGTTTGGCTACTGATGAGCTGCGGTTCATTCTCCTGGCTGCGGTCAGTGATTCACTTCTTGGGCTGCGGTCCACATGGGCCTCGGTGCTATGACCCACCGGACCTGAATGCGCTAGGACGGTGTGTAGGGCCAATAAGCCGAGGAAGGCTGTAGTCCACCGATCCGAGTAATCAGGGCAGTGTGTAGGGCTACGGCTGGCTGCGACCCAACGAGTGATGGGACGACGGTGTGTAGGGCCATAGTCTCTGAGGATCTTCGCCCACCAAGTGAGTATAGCTTCGCGGTTTGTCGGGCTTGATCCGCTATGTTCCACCGGCATACCCATCGGCGGTGTGTAGGGTCGTAAGTCCCCCCTTGAAAAGGGGATCGCGATCCATCGACTGGGTGCGTCAGCGGTGTGTAGGATCGTGGTCCGACGTTGAGTTCGTTAGCGATTCTCAAAGGGTTGGTTGCGATCAACTCCCTTCATACCGTGATACTGAGGTAGGGTGCTGCGGGGCCATGTTAATGCTATAAGCATTAACCCTCATGTTCGGGGCATGCGATTGGTCCCGTAGCGCCATCAACGTTTATGTGATATGAAGGTGATTGAGTGATGATGTGATTTGGAAATATGCAAATGTTCTGTGACCTTAGATGCGTATTCCTTATGACGATTATCTCTACTTAACTGTTTATTGTTGATTGATGAGCTTATCCCTAATTGCTGAGTCTATTTCTGGTTTTAAAACTAGTGTCTCTTAAGTATATATCTTCCTGCTTCGAAATGATTTTCGTATATCTATATATATCTATCTATAATATATTTCAACGCGTTGGAGTGGGTTACCAGCATCTCTCGCTGAACAGATATATTTGGCTTTCAGGCACAGATGAGTAGACACTGGAGCGCGCTAAGAGATTTGGAGCGTAGAATAGATAGTTTCCCTTTCGGCCTACGTGCCATGCTTATGTATTGACATTATTGAGGATTTTAGTTAGTTAGCCAGTACACCTGAGTTCTCTAGTTCAGGTGTGGCATAGCACCCCGTACTCTTATGTTATATTTTTGGGATTTAATGAGAATTTATCTTTATTATACAAGTCTTAAAAGTTGAAAAATTTCGGGGTGTTACAATTATGGCCTTCTTCCAAAATCTGCCGCTTCAACCGATCACACGATGTAGGTACACATAGGCGGCCCTCGTATCTCAACTCCCCATCCGTGGACAACTCAAACGGTCCCTCCTTTCCTTTTCTTAGGTCCTCTCTTGCCTTCAACAAGCTAGCATCCTTCCATTGCATCACTTTGATTTCCTCCAAAAGTGTAGGTATAGCTCTTAGGTTGAAGAGATGGGTCTCTAACTCGACTTCACCTTGTTCCACCATTTCTAGATTCATCCTTTGAAATTCTTTGCAAAGCTCGTCAGCCACTACCCAAATGGAACTGACAGCATGCTTGGTCTTCCTGCTCAGAGCGTCTGCCACAACATTTGCCTTTCCCTCGTGATATTGGATTTCCAACTCATAGTCTTTAATGAGTTCCAACCACCGCCTCTGACGCACATTAAGACTCTTATGGTCCGTAAAGATCTTGTAACGCACACCATACAGATAATGCCTCCAAATATTCAAAGCGAAAACTACGGCTGCCAGCTCTAAATCATGCGTGGGATAATTCTCTTCGTGTATTTTAAGCTGTCGCGATGCATAAGCTATAACTCTCCCATTCTGCATCAACACGCAGCCTAGTCCTTTCTTAGATGCATCATTGTATACCTCAAACCCCTCCGTCCCGGATGGTAGAATTAACACGGGTGCGGTCGTGAGCCTCTCTTTCAAGTCTCGGAACGCCAAATCGCAAGCTTGATTCCAATGAAAGGGCACATCCTTCCTCAACAGTTTGTCAACGGTTGAGCCACCTTAGCAAAGTCCAACACAAACCTTCGATAGTAACCTGCTAGACCCAAGAAGCTTCTTACTTCCGCCACGGTTGTCGGCACTGTCCATTTTTTCACTGCCCGAATCTTATCCAGATCCACTGATATGCCCCTGCTGTCTATCACATGACCCAAGAATGCAACACTATCTTTCCAAAACTCACACTTAGAAAGCTTGGTGTACAACTGTTTTTCTCTCAGAATCTGTAACACTGTCCGAAGATGACCCACATGCTTTTCTTTATCCCGAGAATAAACAAGGATATCGTCGATAAACACGATCACAAAGTCATCAAGATGAGCCTTGAACACACGATTCATGAGATCCATGAACACTGCTGGCGCGTTGGTTAAACCGAATGGCATCACCGTGAACTCGTAGTGACCATAGCGCGTTCAGAACGCCGTCTTAGGTATATCTTGATCTGCCACTTTCAGCTGGTGGTAACCTGATCTCAAATCATTCTTGGAGAACAGCCCGTCACCTCGGAGTTGATCAAACAAATCGTCTATCCGCGGCAGGGGATACTTGTTTTTTATTGTAACTTGATTCAGCTCGCGGTAATCGATACACAACCTCATACTTCCATCTTTCTTCTTTACAAACAACACAGGCGCACCCCACGGTGATGTACTTGGCCGGATGTAACCTTTATCCAGACGCTCTTGCAACTGAGTCTTCAACTCCTGCATCTCCTTGGGTGCTAAACGATAACGGGCCTTGGATATGGGCCCTGTACCAGGTACGAGGTCCACTGAGAATTCAACTTCTCTTGGAGGAGGCATTCCCGGGATTTCTTCTGGAAAGACATCGAGGAATTCACATACAACAGGTATGGTCTGAGCTATATCTCTTTTGGCCTCCAGGTTTTCAACTGAACATAAGAAGATTTCATGGCCCTTCTCCACGTACTTTTTCATCTTCAACATGGACACTAACTTGATCCCTGGTTCTCCTGTTGACCCTCGGTACGACACCCTCTTCCCATTTGGCCCTCTCAAGACCACCTTCTGTTCACCACACAAGATCTGGGCTCTGAACCGTCCTAGCCAGTCCATACCCAGGACCACATCGACCCCGTCCAGACCAAACTGTATCAAATCACTAGAGAACTCTTCCCCATCGATGCTTATCTTGACGTCTTTGAAGAGGCAATCACAAGCCTTAACTTCTCCCAATGCCACCTTGACGTTTAAATTCACTCCAACACCTTCGGTTAGGCCTAACTTCCTTACAAGCTCCGGGGATACGAACGAGTTGGACGCCCCAGAATCAAACAAAACAATTTCTGGAACAGCTTGCACCAAAAACGTCCCGATCACCACATCACTGTCTACGGTCCGAACCTCACTTAGGATGAGGGTTTTCTCCTGGGTTAACTCCTCTGGCAAACTCTGTACTCCCAACTTTCCACTTCTTCTTGGACTACAGATCGATGGCAAGATAGCTGCGCTGGGACTCACTCGAGTGGACGTACCACTTCGAATCCATTGCTCGACCACCCTAGGAGTGTCACAAACTCCTGTTGTCCTGGGTCTCTTGGCGACATCACACACTTCTTCAAGCAGAACGATACGCCGGTGAGAAGACATCGCAAACTTCTACAACAACAACATGATTACCAAAAGATAGCAAACAAGCAAAGAACAGAAAGCAACACTCAGATCACCGCTCAACCTATAGTCCTAAGCTTAACACTTAGATTCTTAAGGTCGCTTAAAGGTCACAAACCACACTTAGCCACTTAGAAAGTCTAGACTTAACTCCTTCCTAGGCTCAAACCTAGGCTCTGATACCAACTGTAACACCCCCTAAAAACATGCTATTTTAAAAGCCTTAAACATGCAACCGATCACACACACGGCAACACAAGCCACCCAAGAATCACGTGAACCTTACACAAAGGTCACAAACTCCATAATCACGTCACGACCACCACGAGGACCGCTGCAATACCTTGGTGACTAGTGTCCCATACCACTAATCGTGCAATCCAGGTAAAGCCACACACACATCACACCTCAACAGGAATCAATCAACGGATCACAACGAAGATATGAAACCATACTCAATCAAGGAATGGATCACAGTCCAACAACAACAACGATGAATAACACAAGTTATCATCAACCACTAGGAAGGTACAAACAACACACACGCTAGCATTTAAACACCGAACTAGCATGCTTAACAAACGGGTAAACAAAATGTAGTTCCGAAGAACACACAAGATTCATCACGGTTCAACAAAACATAATGTTGAACACTTAGCACGATTCAAGACACCAAAACCTACATGGATTCCTACCATATAGTTCTAGACATATGAAACATCAAGAAGACACTCAAATAGTTCCACAAAAGAACAACGGGAGTCGAAAGACCAAATACCGAGTCAAAAGAATCACTAGCAACAAATCCCCCAACATCCGCAACACGTACCCCGCGGGTGGGCCCACGGGTAGGCCTCTACCCGCGGTTCCGCCCGCGGGTACAGGCTGCCCAACCTGTGTACCCCGCGGGTAGGCGGCGGGTTGGACCCCTACCCGCCGTTCCGCCCGCGGGTACCCCTGTACCACAATAAATCCCTTCGCGGATTTTCATCTCCAAACTCAAATTCAAATCCAAAACATGCCAAATATCACCAAATACAACAAAATAACTTGAATCAAAGGAAATGCCAAGCAATGGCACACAAGAACCCTAAACACAAGCTCTAGATATGCATTTTCACAAGACAATGCATAAACACTCACATTTCATAGCAAAACACATGTAGAATCCAAGAAATATTCACATAGGTAAGCAAAATAGATTTTGTAGAGCATGGGTTACCTCTTGTAGACTAAAGACTTCACTTTACACCTCAACAAGCTCCTCACTAGGCTCACCTTCAAAACCCACTTCAAGAATATACCAAAAGATCATAAAGATCCTATCTTTAAGAAAAGACACCTTAGATAAAACCAAAAACACAAGATGAACTTAGATCTTACCCTCCTAGATGCCCAAATATATGAAAGGTTGAATCTTGGAAGCAACACTTGAAGTTTTGGCAAGGCTCCAACTTGGCTTGGAAGAAAAGCTACTCACATTTTTAGAGAGAAGGTGGTGCTAGATTTTTAGAAAGTATAAGGAAAGAATGAAGGTGGTCTACTAGGTTAGGTTACAATACTAACAACAAGTGAAAGGTCAAGAATACCCTTACTAACATAAGGAAGTGTAAGGAACAAGGGAACTCCTTTCAAAGCTCAAGGTACATGTTTGACTTTGGGGTTGACTAGTCAATTACTAGTCCCCAACTATTAAATTTCAGGAATTTAAGGAATTAAATTACGAATTGAAATAAGATTAATTACTTAATTGAATTTGGATTTCGGGGTGTCACATCACATATACATATGGAGGAATATCATAACCATCACTCACGAGATTTCACATATCCATATACTCTCATATATATAAGGTGAAAGGGACGAAGGGTCTTAGATCAACTAAGCCCTAGTGACACGGTAAACCACTCTACCGGCCACTCCACAAGTTTGTCCCTTTCGTGGGATAAAGGACTAAAACCTTAAGTGTGCACGCCCTCTAATGGGATTCCCCCACCCAAAAAAGTAGTAACTAGTCCAAGTAGCCCAGGATGTTTTCTACCAGGCTACTCCACATAATAGGTATCCAGGATGTTTTCTACCAGATACAATCTCATCAAAAATAGGACCAGAACCCACATAGGACTGAAGTCCACCATTCCACAACCATCCATCATATCTACATATCCTCCAAAAATAGATACATCTTTATATATCCTCCAAAAACAAGAATAGTTATCAAAATAGATACAATATCCTCCAAAAGTAATATTAGTTTTCCAAGAAAGGTTTTCATGAATATTCTCATTTGCCCGTAGGCTATCCAAATTATAGTTTTCAAATAATACAACGCATTATAACCCATCAATATCCATACTTTCCATAATAGTTATTATCCTCCAAAAAGAATATAATAATATGCAAAATAATATATTTTCTGTAATTTACACATTTCCTCCAAAAACAATCGTCCTTCAAAAGTAAATATAATTTCATATCCTCCAATATAAACATAGTTTCACTCATTTCAATATACTTAGGTTTTCAACCACAATTTCTCAAAGTATAAATATATATGTGTATCACAAAATTATAAGTTTTCTAATACTCAAATCAATTCCAATTATAATAGGTTTTCAACACGTAAAACATTTAGGCACACCATAGCTTATACACCTTTCAAAAATATAGTTTCAACTCATATAGATCACAAGTCAAACACCAACATAACCATATTTTGCTATTTATCACATTTTAGAACTAGAACCCATTCTCAAAATAATTTAAATACACAAATCATATAAGTAGAACATTTAGTATGGCAAAGTAATTTAAACGGACATAGAAACTTACCTCAAGCTAAGCTCCAAAAGCTAAACGCATCCAATCCTAAGCTCACTCTTAGGCTAATCACATCAATAGGGAACCTGAGAACCCTTTATTCATTTACCAATACTATTAACATTAATAATAGTATTAATCCATAATCAACCCATCATTAATAATTATGACCTCATCATTAAATCCATGATCCCTTCTTTACTTCACTCATAATCACCATCATTAAGCCATTGATCAATCCATAACATTTTCATAATTTTTCACCTTTAATATTCATAATAGAATAGATTCCTAAGTAGATCATTATAATCTCATCATTATTTGCCTTGTCATTAAATCATCATCTCTTCATTAATACTAAATATTGTCATTAAACCTTAATCACCAACCATTAGCTTTAATCTCAAACTGTCAAACATAAACCGCTTTATCATTAATACTTGATCGCCATTAATTCATCCTTAGCACATAATCATTAGCTAATCACCACTTTATCAATCATCATTGCCTAATCATCAAAATTATTATTATTCAATAATTATGCTAATCATTATTATCCAATAATCCTCATCATTAAACTTTAATCATCATTAGCTCAAACCCAACCTCACTAATCATCAGTTAATCTATAATCCAACAACATTAACCACTAATTATTATAATTAAACTCTAATAACAATCATTAGTCTTAATTACCTTAGTAATTCATTGTTAATCCATTCCAATTCTGTAGTTTCTCTGTTTCTGTCCAAACCACCACCACATTGCCATTTCGTCACCTTCAATAACACAAATCTCACCATCTTTATTTTCAACAACAACAACATAAATATATACTTCTTCATAAAGTCATCATCCTCAATAATCTACAACCAACAACAACAACATCTCACCTCACTCCAAGCTCCACTGCCGGTGAGAGGGACCACCGGACTGTCGTTGTAACACCTCGTGTTACGGCCTTTAATCCCAAATTAATTATTTAATTAATTTCATTAATAATAATAAAAAGGGATTAAATTTGATTAGAAATCCCTTTAATTAATTAATGTGGTCCACCACGGATCATAGACCCTTATCCCTAAAACAAGTCCTTAGTCCTATAAAAAATAATAAAATTAGTAACCCATACCATTCAGACCCTAATTAGGACTCCTATATATATATATATATATATATATATATATATATATATATATATATATATATATATATATATATATATATATATAAGGTATATATATATATATATATATATATATATATATATATATATATATATATATAAAAGGACATAGGAGGCACCTAGAAGTCACACCATAATAGATATCACCACACAAGAATTCCCAAGGGACTCCCCACCACCAAGCCTAGGGAGATCAAAACGGATGGAAATCTTAGGGAAGAACCTTAATAGCTAAGGAATGATTAATTAAGGCTAAGAGGTAACCCATGTCTCAACAAAACCTATTTTCCTTGCTATAATTATCTCCTTTGGCCTCCTCTCTATACTTGTGTCTTGATGAATCGTTTATGATATTGATGATATGTTATTGATGATTGTGGGATGACTTTATGTGTGATCTTGATGATCTTGATGATGATAAGAGGTTCTTGATGATTATTTGATGTTCTTGATGAATCTTGATGTTTTGATGATTAAAAGAAGAACTATGATTTTATTGATTTGAATATGATTAGAGACCTAGGTTAAAATTGGGAATTTCGTATTGTGTTATTCTTGATATAATTGGGTGGGATTTCGCATGTTCGGGCGTTGATTATGTTTAGAAGTCATGATAGGATATGTGCTATGAGATTCTTGCTTTTGATCCATTAATTGTCTACGTGGTGTCAACAATTGCGTTTAAAAGTGTCTAAGCATGGTTTCGGGTTCCACAACGGATCCCGGGATGTTTATTTTGGTAAAAAGTCAGTGGGGGGAAGGTGGGGGTAGGGGGACCCGCCACCTACCTGCTGCCCGAAAAGGGCGTCGCCGACAGCGGGCAGCCGGCGGGCAAGCGACTGCCCGTCGGGCACCGCTGCCCGGAGACTGGTCGCCGGCGGGTGATCCTCCACCCACCGGATACCCGCTGGAAATTGTCCACCTCGGGACTCCGCCTTGATGTTTCCCCGACCCTCGTGGTGTCCCAACGGACCCCGTTTATCGTGCCTAGGTTTAGTTTGATGTTTCGGGTACCGTTCGTAGGATAAATGAGTCTTATGTATCGCATGCTAGTTGAATTGGTATCCCGTTGGCCTAGGTGAAAGAAGGATGAACCCCTTAGGACTATTCCTAGTTTGTGGATGACCACGCATAGGTTTCTTTATACGTTTTTTCCCCTTTCCCAATGTGTTAATATGAGTTGCATGTGCTTGCTATGTGTTATGTGTGCATGATACCCCAATTTGGTTGCGATCAAATTGGTTATTCCTGAGCTGCGGTTCAAAAGCTGGCTGCGGTCAGAATTACACTCTCGGGCTGCGGTCCACCATTTGGTTGCGATCAAACGTTTTACATGAGCTGCGGTTCATATTCCTGGCTGCGGTCAGATGATCACTCTTGGGCTGCGGTCCACCGTTTGGGTTGCGATCAAACATTATGATGAGCTGCTGTTCATCGGTCGGTTGCGATCGACCCCTTCGTGTTGCGATACGAGGCAGGGTGCTGCGGGGCCGTGTCAGAGCTATATGCGCTGACCCTCATGTATGTGCATGTGATTGGTCCTGTGGCGCCAACAAAGTGTGCTTGTGTGAAGAGTTGAATGATGATATAAATAAGACGAAGTGAATCCGTGACCATAGGATATATGCTAGTATCTTTACATGCTTGGTTACAACTGTTGAATGTGCTTATCCCATAGGATATATGCTAGTATCTTTACATGTTTGGTTATAACTGTTGAATGTGCTTATCCCTATTTGTCGAGTCTATTCCGGTTTTGAAACTAGAATTTCCTAGGATATATCTTCTTGCTTCAAAATGATTTTTCTTATATCTATATATATATATATATATATATATATATATATATATATACTTATACGGTATTTCATCGCGTTAGAGTGGGTTACCAGCATTATTCGCTGAACAGATATATTTGGCTTTCAGGCACAGACGATTAGCTCCGGAGCGTGCTAGAGGACCTAAGGCTTAGATAAATAGTTTCATATTCGGCCTGCGTGCCATAATGATGTAATGATGTTGTTTATGGATAATTAGATAGTTTAGCCTGTGCATCTGAGATCTCCAGCTCAGATGTGGCATAACACCCCGTATTCTTATGTTTAGTACTGCTCTGTTTGGGATTTAATGAGAATTTACCTTTATTATATAAGTTTTAAAAGTTTCGAAAATCTGGGGTGTTACAGTTGGTATTAGAGCCTAAGTTTGACCCTAGGATAAGACTCTTAAGACCAGACTTTAGGACATTAGGCTTGAACTCTAGGTATTTAGGAACATAGGATTCAGGAATCTTAGGACGCGCGGTGAGATTGTGAACCTACCTACATCACATAAACCACCCCTCACTTTACCCCACATTAATTCAAAGAATTTCCCCTTCGCTTATCACATCAAGGTAAGCGTACAACACACTGACTCTTCATTCCACATACTGGCCCTAGGAATTTGTTATGTCCTTGCATGCTTTTACCTGCTTTGTTGCTTATCACTCTTTGATTATCATACTTGTTTATTTGCTTAAGCATATATGTTCCAAATTGATTTTAGACCATGTTAGGAACTGCATATTATTGCTTAACTATTTGACCAAACATGCGTTATTCGGATATCTGTTACTTGATAAAGTATTTTGGGACTTGCAATTAGTAATTTTATTCAACTTATAAGGGCTCACTTGTCCTAATCATAATTGACCAATATAGTTTACTCACTAAATAGCCCGCTAAGTACTTACTGATTGTAGCAAAAATAAGATGTGAGCTCGGGTGTTATATCGTCCTCAGGGGTCCATCAAGCACACAAAGCATCAAAAGCCCCCAACTTCCCCCATTTTCATAGGAAAAATCGGGTTTATGCAAGGAGTGGCTTGGAATCTTGACCCAACTCTCATTGAGGCCAAGAATCCTCCAAAACATGTCAATGAATGTTGTACACCAAGCATTAACAATATACAAACACAAATCCTTCATAAACTCAAGAACCCTAGGTAGGCAAAATCCCCTTTATGCAATAATCACAAATCAAGCATCAAGATATATAATACAACCCTAACTCAAGCCCATAAACTAACTACTCATGATTAAATAGCACAAAGAACACAAAAGCATAAGTGTAAAGCATAAACATTGCAAGATAAAGAGATAAAAGGGAGAAGAAAACTTCACTAAGAAAAGGATGGTAAATCTTGGAATCCAAGTGTTGAATCCTTGAATACAAGCTTGAAATATGATAAAGAACCTAAATCTACACCTAATCTAACACTAAAGTATGAAAAGAAAGAGTAGAAAATAGTTAGGGTTCGAATGGGGTTCAAAACCAAGTACAAATGAGTGAAAACTCAGCTAAAATAGAGTAGAGACGGGGGGTTTCGACGCGTCGAGAAATTTCTCGACGCGTCGAACATTTACAGTAAGAAAATCGCGACATTCTGCCCAATCTCGACGCGTCGAGAAATTTCTCGACGCGTCGAGCTCTACTCTGCAACAGAACTCCGTTTTGTAGGCTGATTTTGACCATTTTGTCTTCATAATTACGCTTCGATGTCTTCATGAAAGTTGTAGCCCTTCGAGTCTTCTTTCAAATGGCACAAGAATCACTTAATTTGGACAATCCTAGACCGAGATATGATCAAATTACCAAACAGTGGTCAGTTTCGGGTGAAATCTGTAAGTTCGGAACTTTAACTTCAAAGATGATTTTGACCACTGTGGCTTCATTTTTAGGCTTTGATATCTGAATATGAGTTGTAGCCCTTTAAGTCTTCTTTACAATGGAACAAGAATCATGTAATTTGGATGTTTTTATCTTGAGATATGGTCCAAAAACCATGACGTCGACGTGCAGGTCGGGAATTGCAATTGCATGGTCGCTTGCTTCTCTTTTGCTTTGGTTTGCCCACATGACTAAGACCATTGAATACACCACTCTTAGGCTTCCTTGGAAGTGTTTTGTCCATCATCTTAGCTTCTCCTTGGCTCCCATGAACCCTAAATATATCCATAAAGCTCCACTTGACTCCAATGTCCTTCAAAATGCATGAGAATATTCATTTTTGCTTCCAAAGCTTTTCAAACCAAATTCCTTGCAAAATAACACAAATTAGTCCTAATCTAATGAAATTTGGAATGATCTATAAACAAAATGGCTTAGTGAAAGGAGCTAAAATATAGAGAAATAAGCACTTATCACTTACATAGGGAAATTTTGGGGAACATAGCTTTAATTAAGAAGGGAAAGAATGGGGCGCGGGATCCTTATGATATTTAATTGAAGCCTCCCATACTCCTTATTAATAACGCGATCCCTTGAGCTTTTCCATGTATTCAACCCCCTTTCGTTGTTCACATAAGTATTGAATTCCTTGAACTTAAAATTGTGCATTCTCGGGGCTTTTCCCGAAGTGATTCCTCCTTCACAGTCACGTTCCAGTGGGGCCTTGGCAGGAGGTCGACCACCCACCACGTGCCCACTGCCACATCCCAGTGGGGACTTGACAGGCAGTCGACCGCCCACCTCGCGCCCACTGGTCCGGTATGTTTTCACGACTTCCTATTTTTATTGATCCATTATGCCTTTAATTTGTGTGTCTCCCTTGATACTTCCTATGTGTTTAACATATAGATGACAATCTAATGCTTGAACATGAAAGTCGAATTACCTTCCTAATTAATTTGTTTATATGTTACATAGAAATTATAGGGACCAATTCTATTTCTAGAAATCTAAAACCTCGGATACCTTTGCGTATTAAGTTTTCGACCCGAAAGTCAACATGAGTGAGACCGGTAGAAACCTAAAACAAGTGGTCATCTCGAAATTATCCTTGGAAAAATATATTTCATCCCCAAACTATCTTAAAACTATCCCTCTAGACTTTGGTCCATGTTGCATAATAGACCACAAGCTTCCAATACATTGTTTAGAACCCTTTTACCACTAAGATAAGGACCCACTACACAAACATTTATACATAAATAGGTATACTACTACTATTCTAAATATATTCCCCTAAAACTTCTATTATATATATATATATATATATATATATATATATATATATATATATATATATATATATATATATATGTATACATTCCTAAAAGTATGTAGTAAATCCCCATTTACAGTCATATGCTACACTTACACCAAAATTATTATTATTATTATTATTATTATTATTATTATTATTATTATTATTACACCTTAACCCTAATCACCTTGCTTAATCTTAAACCTTCCATAGCTGCGCCGTATACAGTACGTCCCTATATGCATATATATATATATATATATATATATATATATATATATATATATAAGTAAACTTATGAGCTTATAGAACATCCTCCCTTATTCATACGTCATACAACAATATCCCTAGCCCAAAACCACACACATGTACCCTAGCTACGATAATCTTATATGCATCTATGGGTTTGCCCTTAGCATATCCTAACCCTGAAATACCATTTCATACAAATTACATCACTCTTATATATATATATATATATATATATATATATATATATATATATATATATATATATATATATATATATATATATATATATATATATATATATATATATACATACATACACGTGTCCTGAGATAACCATAAATTCTACTTTTCCCCCTCGCATGGCCTCCCTGTTACCACTCTTACCTTCCCTAAATAATTTTAAACTTTAGCCTCATCATCAGGTCATCAATTAATTTAGGAATTAGCAATCAAAGGTCTTCAACTCTAAAGTTGTTCAGATATTCTAGGCTTCTAGAGGTAAAAATTACGCCTACCGAAAACCTAATTACCACCGAGAGAAAACTAATTTTCCTAAGTGCTTGTGTGATTACATTCTGTCAAGATAAAACCTTTAGTACTCGTGAACCTAGGCTATCTTACTCGTACTTATTAAAGAATATTTAGATGCAAATTATAGGTGGAAACTTATATTTTTCATATGTGTTGCATGACAAATCACATAGCTCGCATGTATATGTCAAAACACACACACATATACATATACACGCATGCTAGACAAAAACGGTATGTTATAAGGCATCCCACTATGCATATGTACAATATTATTAATTACAAGCAATCTGCATATAAGTGCCAATACTTGTTATGTGATCACCCGCCGTTATCCATGGAATACAAAATAAAGATTCTAATTCTATTGTCTCCCCAGAATTTATTTACCCCATAAGAAGCAAGAGCCTTTCCTCCTAATTACTTACAATCTTTTCCTCCGAATCTAATTTTCGCTATTTGACTAATTATCATATGATTTATGACCTTCCTGAATTTACATGACAAAAGTTTGGTTATGCCACGATATTAGGTACGTGAATTTAATTGTTAATCATACACTAGACTAACATGTGAAATAATACATATGTGTGCTTTATGATTTCCACAGGACTAGTTATTATTTAAGACTTAAAATAGGGCCACATGCCTTCACACTCTATGCCCATAGACTTAAGAAATTGCATGTTTAGCATAATTACGATTGAACACATATAATCATGCCAACTTGCAGGTTTCGCATATAACATAAATAGTTAACTATCATACATGTTAGGCTTGATGCTTCGTAACTGTGAATATTTGGTATAATCTGCTAAGCACAAAGATTAGCCATAGATCCTACATATATGGCATCTTAGCTCACAACACACCACACTACATAATTAAACGTCTGCATTCACTCGTAAATGAGGTTCGCCTATGTTGATATATGTGCATATATACTTTATAATAATTATGTGGCTATCCGAACCTGCACCCGCATGGTGTTTGCCTCTCATTTAGGTACATAAATAATTATACGATCGGTACAACTTGTGACCCTATATGTTAAATCATTATAAAATAATTGAATAAAAATCATGACCATGTGTAAAACTTCTATGTTATGTATTAGTCACCTGTAAAACTTACATATTGTGTGTACATACTTCCCATATAATGCTGTCCTTATAAACTACTATACTAATTCGGGCTCTTTACCCCAAAATAATTACCAAGCTTCGGGGACGAAGCTTCTTGTAAGGAGGGGAGAGTGTAACACCCCGTGTTACGGCCTTTAATCCCAAATTAATTATTTAATTAATTTCATTAATAATAATTAAAAGGGATTTAATTTGATTAGAAATCCCTTTAATTAATTAAAGTGGTCCACCACAGATCATGAACCCTTATCCCTAAAACAAGTCCTTAGTCCCATAAGGAATAGAATTAGTAAACTCATACAATTCAGACCCTAATTAGGACTCCTAAAATATATATATATATATATATATATATATATATATATATATATATATATATATATATATATATATATATATAAGGACATAGGAGGCACCTAGAAGTCACACCATAATAGATATCACCACACAAGAATTCCCAAGGGACTCCCCACCACCAAGCCTAGGGAGATCAAAACGGATGGAAATCTTAGGGAAGAACCTTAATAGCCAAGGAATGAATAATTAAGGCTAAGAGGTAACCCATGTCTCAACAAAACCTATTTTCCTTGCTATAATTATCTTCTTTGGCCTCCTCTCTATACTTGTGTCTTGATGAATCGTTTATGATATTGATGATATGTTCTTGATGATTGTGGGATGACTTTATGTGTGATCTTGATGATCTTGATGATGATAAGAGGTTCTTGATGATTATGTGATGTTCTTGATGAATCTTGATGTTTTGATGATTAAAAGAAGAACTATGATTTTATTGATTTGAATATGATTAGAGCCCTAGGTTAAAATTGGGGAATTTCGTATTGTGTTATTCTTGATATAATTGGGTGGGATTTCGCATGTTCGGGCGTTGATTATGTTCAGAAGTCATGATAGGATATGTGCTATGTGATTCTTGCTTTTGATCTATTTATTGTCTACGTGGTGTCAACAATTGCGTTCAAAAGTGTCTAAGCATGGTTTCGGTTTCCACAACGGATCCCGGGACGTTTATTTTGGTAAAAAGTCAGTGGGGGGTAGGTGGGGGTAGGGGGACCCGCCACCTACCCGCTGCCCGAAAAGGGCATCGTCGGCGGGCAGGCGACTGCCCGTCAGTCACCCGCTGCCCGGAGACGGGTCGCCGGCGGGTGGTCCTCCACCCACCGGCTACCCGCTGGAAATTGTCCAACTCGGGACTCCGGCTTCCCCATTTGATGTTTCCCCGAACCTCGTGGTGTCCCAACGGACCTCGTTTATCGTGCCTAGGTCTAGTTTGATGTTTCGGGTACCGTTCGTAGGATAAATGAGTCTTATGTATCGCATGCTAGTTGAATTGGTATCCCGTTGGCCTAGGTGAAAGAAGTATGAACCCCTTAGGACTATTCCTAGTTTGTGGATGACCACGCATAAGTTTCTTTATACGTTTTCTCCCCTTTCCCAATGTGTTAATATGAGTTGCATGTGCTTGCTATGTGTTATGTGTGCATGATACCCAAATTTGGTTGCGATCAAATTGGTTGTTCCTGAGCTGCGGTTCAGAAGCTGGCTGTGGTCAGAATTACACTCTCGGGCTGCGGTCCACCGTTTGGTTGCGATCAAACGTTTTACATGAGCTGCGGTTCATATTCCTGGCTGCGGTCAGATGATTACTCTTGGGCTGCGGTCCACTGTTTGGCTGCGATCAAACATTATGATGAGTTGCGGTTCATCGGTCGGTTGCGATCGACCCCTTCGTGTTGCGATACGAGGCAGGGTGCTGCGGGATCGTGTCAGAGCTATATGCGCTGATCCTCATGTATGGGCATGCGATTGGTCCTGTGGCGCCAACAAAGTGTGCTTGTGTGAAGAGTTGAATGATGATATAAATAAGATGAAGTGAATCCGTGACCATAGGATATATGCTAGTATCTTTACATGCTTGGTTACAACTGTTGAATATGCTTATCCCATAGTATATATGCTAGTATCTTTACATATTTGGTTATAACTGTTGAATGTGCTTATCCCAATTTGTCGAGTCTATTCCGGTTTTGAAACTAGAGTTTCCTAGGATATATCTTCTTGCTTCAAAATGATTTTTCTTATATATATATATATATATATATATATATATATATATATATATATATATATATATATATGTATATATATATGTATATATATATGTATATGTATATATATATGTATATGTACATATATATGTATATATATATATATATGTACATATATATATATATATATATACATATATATATATATATATATATGTATATATATATATATATATATACTTATACGGTATTTCAACGTGTTAGAGTGGGTTACCAGCATTATTCGCTGAACAGATATATTTGGATTTCAAGCACAGACGATAAGCTCCGGAGCGCGCTAGAGGACCCAAGGCTTAGATAGATAGTTTCATATTCGGCCTGCGTGCCATAATGATGTAATGATGTTGTTTAAGGATAATTAGATAGTTTAGCCTGTGCATCTGAGTTCTCCAGCTCAGATGTGGTATAACACCCCGTATTCTTATGTTTAGTACTTCTCTGTATGGGATTTAATGAGAATTTACCTTTATTATATAAGTTTTAAAAGTTTCGAAAATCTGGGGTGTTACAGTCGTCGCAGGAGGGGACCAACCACCGCCGAAAACTGCTCCAACCGTGCCAGATTTGCGAAGCTATTGCCAGATCTACATCATCGCCAGAGATCCACCTCTGCCCACTGTTGCTACGCCAAAAATACAGAGGAGAGGGAAAAAAACTAAGCTCATCGCTGATCTACTGCATCAAAGCATCGCTGAGGTCTGGCCGCTGCTGTTGCCGTCAACGAGAAGAAGAGATGAGAGAAACCGGGCTGCTGTAACACCCCCTAATTTCCATGCTATTTAAAGCCTTAAACATGCAAATATCTAAACCAAAACATCGAACACAGCGGAAGACTGAAAGAGGAAATATATAAACTGGAAGTGAAGGGGTGCTATGCCACGCTCACCCAGGGGTGAACGCACAGGCTAACATTTGCATTGTTCAACATAAAAAAACCAACATCACAAAGTACTAAGTCTAAATTGGCTCACAGGCCACAAAACATAAGGGAGGAGCTACACTAGCTGGCACTAAACCGCGCACTCGTCTAAACATCACCTGTAGGAAACACATAAAACATGGGACGACGCCCGGTCAGCGAATAATGCTGGTAACCCACCAATACATGTGAAATATCATACATAGATAAGATATAAGTTTGTAAAGCCATTTTCGAAATGGAATACATATATATGAGTCCAAAACCAAGAGTAATAGTCAACACAAGACTCAAACACTCTCAACAAGAACACGGGAACACATCCCATCGCCTCCCAAACTCTGAACAGCGAGGTTCAACTTCCCGGAATGAATCCCAAGCTCGGCTGCCAACTCAGCTCTTTCTTCAGGGGCTTTCCTTGCAACTTCTTCAAGAGTGATGTAATCACCATCATCCAACTGAAACAATTAGCAACTTCGAAGATTGGTGGCATCCAACACCAACTTTCCCACGGCCTTCGGTAGACAACCATCAACACTTACACATTTCCTAACCAAGATCCAGCTTAACACCATCCCATACGTTAGGCTTTTCCGGTTATGATCACAACCGAAAACCATATGTTGCAACATCAAAGCTGGCAGGTTGAACTTGACCATATTCTTGAGGCAAAAGGCAAAGGTGCACTCCAACTTTCCCAACAACTTATTTTGTTGTTATTGGGTAACAAACAATCCGATATCAACATAACCAAGATCCTCTGTTCTGCAGACAACCACTTTTGCTCCGGCCTTGAAGCTTGATTGAAACCACTCGTGCGACCCAAAAAATAACTCAAATAGTCCCGGTACCCCATGGTATCCGTACTAATCCATGAGTTACCGCTATACTGAGCAACTCCCGAAGCAGACAAACTCAAAAGCTGAGCCAGCCTCTTTTCAGACAGAACTACCTTCACACCTCTCACTTTAGAAGTGATCTCAAGCTTATCACCATCTTTTGTCACAACCATGTGACGATAAAATTCCTTAACCAAACTCGGGTAAGTCTTCGGCCCTTATGGCGAGAAACCCATCCAACAAACCTTGGAATCTAAGCATATCCAACAAGAAATTAGGAAAAGATTGAGGTTCAAAGGCTTTACCTTCAAGAACATGGTAGTGGGCATCCACCCATTCCACTTTCCTAGCCAAGCTTGACCTTCTAGGCATGGTAGGAGATGACCCAAAGCTCAACAAACGAAGCCCATAACTTTTCCTTCTACTACTCTCTCTCGACGACTCTCTCTCTCGCTCTCGCTGCTTCTCTCTGGGCTTCCGGCGAACAGGGCAGCTCGGCGGGGAGGCTCCGGCGGTGTGTCGACAGCGGCGGTCAGCGACGGTGCGTCGGCGGATCGGCGGTGGTGGCGGGTTGCAGGTGAAGCGACGGGTGGGGTGTGTATCTCAGCTGCTCATGGGTAAGGAAGAAGAGAGAAGAAGATTTGGGAATTTAGGGATTTTTGGGGTAACATTTGGGGAAAAGATGATTTAATTTGGGGATTTGGGTAAAGTGGAAATTTATGGTTTAGATGAAATTAAAATTGAGTAAGTTTTAAGATAGAGAATTAGCTCAAATGGTTTAGGAGTTAGGTTGGTAAAGAATATGCTTGGGTTTCAAACTTAGAGATTGCAAATAAACCTTTTGCTTGACTTTTTGGCTAGACAAGATAGGATTTGTACATGGGTTTTCTATTCTCAATTTCAAGGAATACTTGGGAAATTTAGATGGTTCTCAAAAGGAAGGGTTGCAAGAATATCCAAGTGAAAAGATTATAGAATTAACCCAAACATGACTCATTCCGAAGTCAAATAACTAACTTCACAACGAAACTTACCCGCAAAAACTAAGGAAGTCATCTATCGACAAGAGCTTACATTTAACTCCAAAAGAATCGTTATCAAAGAAAAACATGACAAGGATAGCCAAGTAACTCAAGTAGACAATGAAGAAACACAAGACAACACTCAAGGCAACAAGGAACAAGCTGCGCACAAAAGACAAAGGTAGGCTAGGAAAGGATTACCTGCTAGCTCCTCCTCCACCAAACCCTCGGACTCTGCTTGCGAACGCCCCATCACGAAGACTCTCCCTGATGGCCTGGCTCCAGCTGCTAGGAAAGACAAGGGTAGGCTAGGAAAGGATTACCTGCTAGCTCCTCCTCCACCAAACCCTCGGACTCTGCTTGCGAACGCCCCATCACGAAGACTCTCCCTGATGGTCTGGCTCCAGCTGCTCCACGGCTCGAGCTACCTCCCGCTGCTCCTCCGGCTCTTGGGGGTGGTGGCAACGCCCTTTGGTTGTCTTGCTGGGGACACTCAGCGACCTTGTGACCTCTATCACCACAACGATAGCATCGCAACGCGAAGCCGTTGCAGTTCTGACCAGCATGCACCTTCCCACATCTATGACAAGGAGATGTCTAGGCTTGATTCCCTTGCTCCATCCGATTGGGTCCTTGGGTCGAAGATGACACATTCTTAGCTTGAAAACTCGGTCGTGGCTTCTTGAAGGTGGTAGAACCTCCGCCCTCGGTCCTCTTCCTTGCTAGCTCAAAAGATCCCCGCTGAAGCTGCTCAACACGGTACAGATCCGCGGCACTCAGATAAGCATCCTTAAGAGAACTCGACCTGCTCACAGTCAAAGCTTTTCGTGCCTCATAATTCAAGCCGGCAACGAATTTCTCGACCTTAGCGAGCTCCGTGGGCACGAGCATCCGAGCGAAGCGCGCCAACTCCAAAAACTTCTTGTGGTAATCGACCACAGACAGAGATCCTTGCTGCAGGTGGAGGAACTCCTCGTACATGGCGGCTCGCACGTGTGCCGGGTAAAACCTCTCGCACATCCTATCCTTAAGCGTAGACCAACCGAACTCAGGTTCCTCAAGGAAGGTCGGACCCTCATGAATCCACCACAGATCAGCCTCATGACTGAAGTAGAACGTTGCCAGTTCTACCCTTCTCTCCTCGGGACAACCCACAACCGCGAAGATCTTGTCGAACACTCTCATCCATTCTTCCAAAACCACCGGGTCTTCTTCACCCGTGAAGGTCGGCGGTCTGTGACCCGACACCAAACGACCAATATCCATGTGCCCAGCAGGTTGAGGAGGTGGCACGGGGTGGTTGTTGTTCAACAAAGCCTCGCTAAGTGTCTGCATCGTCTGTGTCAACTGTTGGAGGTTCGTAGCAAGCTGCTCATTCGTCGGGGTCTCCGGGGTGCGCGCTCGTGGACGAGGAGGCATCGCAAACTTCTACAACAACAACACGATTACCAAAAAGACAACAAGCAAGCAAATAACTGAAAGCAACACTCAGCTCACCGGCAACCTAGAGCCCTAAGCCTAACACTTAGAGTCTTAAGGTCGCTTAAAGGTCTCAAACCATACTTAACCACTTAGAAAGTCTAGACTTAACCCTCCTAGGCTCAAACCTAGGCTCTGATACCAACTGTAACACCCCCTAATTTCCATGCTATTTAAAGCCTTAAACATGCAGATATCTAAACCAAAACATCAAACACAGCGGAAGACTGAAAGAGGAAATATATAAACTGGAAGTGAAGGGGTGCTATGCCACACTCACCCAGGGGTGAACGCAAAGGCTAACATCTGCATTGTTCAACATCTAAAAACCAACATCACAAAGTACTAAGTCTAAATTGGCTCACAGGCCATAAAACATAAGGGAGGAGTTACACTAGCTGGCACTAAACCGTGCACTCGTCTAAACATCACCTGAAAGAAACACATAAAACATGGGACGACGCCTGGTCAGCGAATAATGTTGGTAACCCACCAATACATGTGAAATATCATACATATATAAGATATAAGTTTGTAAAGCCATTTTCGAAACGGAATACATATATATGAGTCCAAAACCAAGAGTAATAGTCAACACAAGACTCAAACACTCTCAACAAGAACACGGGAACACATCCTAAGACTACAAGGAATAACAACGACTCACAAGAAGTCTCAAGGCATAATCTATCATCACACAATAGATTAACACCCGACATGCATGATACAAGAGATTAAGAATACACCCAATGGCAACAGATGCCAAGGAAACACATGCCTTTGTGACTACACACGTCACAAGAAGAGAACTCACAACAACGGCTACACAAGCCCTCGTGACATCACCCATCACGAGTTGATATGCCTTCCTTATGCCCGGTTCCAACCTTATGGCTACCCCCAACCTTATGTCAAGTTCCAACCTTTACCGCCAGGACCCCTGTACACCAAGTCCAACCTTTTTCCTCTGAGGACCGTCGCTCCCTCTCCAACAGATCTCCAAAAGAACCACCGATTTCATAGTACACGAGGGTACCGATCACACACACGGCAACACATGCCACCCAAGAAATACGTGAATCTTACACAAATGTCACAACTCCATAATCACGTCATGGCCACCACGAGGACCACAGCAATACCTTGGTGACTAGTGTCCCATACCACTAATCGTGCAATCCAGGTAAAGCCACACACACATCACACCTCAACAGGAATCAATCAACGGATCACAAAGAAGATATGAAACCATACTCAATCAAGGAATGGATCACAGTCCAACAACTACGATGAATAACACAAGTCATCATCAACCAATAGGAAGGTACAAACAACACACATGCTAGCATTTAAACATCGAACTAGCATGCTTATCAAACGGGTAAACCAAACGTAGTTCCGAAGAACAAACAAGACTCATCACGATTCAACGAAACACAATGTTGAACACTTAACACGATTCAATACACCAAAACCTACATGGATTCCTAACATATAGTTCTATACATACGAAACATCAAGAAGACACTCAAATAGTTCCACGAAAGAACATCGGGAAGTCAAAAGACCAAATACCGAGTCAAAAGAATCACGGGGAACAAATCCCCACACAACCATACATTGTACCCCGCGGGTGGACCCACGGGTAGGCCCCTACCCGCGGTTTAGCCCGTGGGTGCATACCCTCGAGGCTCTTGTACCCCGCGAGTGGGCGACGGGTGGACCCTTACCCGTCGTTCCGCCCGCGGGTGCACACCTGTACCAAAATTAATCCCTTCGGGGATTTTCAACTCCAAGCTCAAATTCAAGTCCAAAACATGCCAAATCTCACCAAATACAACAAAATGACTTGAATCAAAGGAATAGCCAAGCAATGGCATAAAAGAACCTTAAACACAAGCTCTAGATATGCATTTTCACAAGACAATGCATAAACACTCACATTTCATAGCAAAATCATGTAGAATCCAAGAAATCATCATATAGGTAAGCAAAATAGATTTTGTAGAGCATGGGTTACCTCTTGAAGACAAAAAACTTCTCTTAACACCTCACCAAGCTCCTAACAAAGCTCACCTTCCAAACCCACTTCAAGAACACACCAAAAGATCATAAAGATTCTATCTTTAAGAAAAAACACCTTAGAAAACACTAAAAACACAAGATGAATATAGATCTTACCCTCCTAGATGCCCAAATGTATGAAAGGTAGAATCTTGGAGACAACTCTTGAAGATTTGACAAAGCTTCAACTTGGCTTGGAAGAAAAGCTATCTACCTTTTTAGAGAGAAGGTGGAGTTAGAATTTGGAAAGTGTAAGGAGAGAAATGAGGGTGTTCTAATAGGTTAGCTTACAATACTAACAAAAGGTGAAAAGTCATGAATACCCTTACTAACATGAAGAGGTGTAAGAAACAAGGGAAATCCTTAAAAAGCTTAACGCACAACCTTGACTTTGGGGTTGACTAGTCAATTACTAGTCCCCGACTATTGAATTTTCAGGATTTTAGGAATTAAATTACCAATTGAAATAGGATTAATTACTTAATTAATCCCTTAGTCGAATTTGGATTTCGGGGTGTTACAGCTGCTGCTACCATGCTTCTGACGTTCGCCGGGAAAGAACAAGGGTCACCGGAGGAGAAGAAGGCGGCACTCGTCGGACAGAGCATCGCCGCTGACTCGCCTCCGCAATCGACCAAAAGAGAGACAAAGGTTGAGGACGGTGGTGGGTGTTGCTGTCGATCTGTAGCCGTGAGGGAGGGAGACGAGATTCATAGAGAGGAAGAGAGAGAGAGAGATTTGATGAATGGATACTAGGGAAGGAATGAACATTAGCAAAATGTTCTATTTATAGCTAGGGTTTTAGGTCACACAAATCATATTTGGGGATTATGTAAAATGTGTAATTTGGCCAAAGATTGGGTTAGGAAATTGGGTCATAAATATTTTTTATTTCAAATAAAATCATTTAGATTAGGAATTAAAAATCATTTGGGTTAAGGGAATTGGTACAAATAAAATGGCTTCTCAAGTTTGTCTCAAATAGACTTTTGGGTTGAGATTTTAGGAAATAAAAATATCCTTTAAATAGGATTTCTAAAACCATAACTAATAATAATTATATAAATAGTTCTAGGAAATCATTTTGAAATAAGTGTTTAAAATATTTTATTTATACACATTTTGGCTAAATCATCGTTATAATAAAATAAATTCTATTTTGAAACTTTATAAAAAGGAATTTGAAGGAAAATATTTTAAGGTGTCACACTAACGGACCCATACAAATCATGATGGTAAATACAAATAGAGCTGCTGAAGGACCAAATTTAGCCGAGATGATTCCCAAGCCAAAAACTTCCTATGCCCCAGAGGAACACACTTGTAGCAATCTGGATAATATTGCACGAGACATTCTGTATAAGACTCTAGACGAGTCATTGTTCCCATGAGTGAGGAAGTGTCAGACCGCCAAAGATATTTGGGATACATTGATTCTCATAGGAGAACATATGAGCAAGAGAAGGAGAACAAGCTCACAGTTGCCCTGAAAAAGTTAGAGGACTTCCAAAGGGGCGCCAACGAGACCATCAGCAAGATAGAAACTCGTTTCATGAAGCTTCTCAGCGAGATCATTGATCTCGGTAAGGAGCCGAGCCAGAAGGAGATCAATCTAAAGATACTCTGAGGACTGCCCAAGGCATGGGACATGAAGGTGATAACGATGCGAGATCACCGACACCTTAAGACGGTTCTAAACTCATAGATCTTCAATGACTTGAAAGCTTACGAGTTCAAGTATGAGCCGAAGCGAGATGAGGAACCCAAGCCGAAGCATGTGGCTCTCGTTGCTGGCCAGCAGCCATCCACATCTACAAGGCCAAACTCTAACCCCTCAGATTTTTTAACTGACGAGCAGTTTCCTTTGTTTGTTTGGAAATTTAAAAGGTTCATGAGAAAGAATAACTTTCAAGACTCGCCATCCACACCGAGCCCATCAAACTAAAGGCATTCTGAAAGATCAAATGGCCCCAAAAGGCGTGAAACAGAGGAGACGTAAATGTTGTGCTATAATTCTCGGAAACCAGGACACTTCAAAGCTGAATGCCCTCATCCAATGGTCCACAAACATCAGGACCAATCTAGAAGCACGAGCACTCCAAACCATTCAAGGAACACTCTTGCTGAGATGAGTGGACTGAGAAGTGCCAAAGACACACATCTTTTTGGGTCTTTAAGGTGGCATTTTATACTCATTTGATATCAACGAGACCAAAGGTACACTCTATCTTGCTATTTCTTCTATAGTTGAGAGCTTCCAACATCAAAATCTCTTCCGAGACTCATCCTCAAAGAGGTAAACACTCCAAACTACAATACTCCATGAATGTGTTTTTCAAGCTTTCTCTCTCCTAAATGTTGAAGTCTAGGCTACATTGTTCTATACATATTGATGCTTGAAATTGATGAATAATGACTAGATTAGCATGAGAGAACATTATGTTTGTGGAAATTTGTGGATTAAAGCATTGATTTGAGAGTATGAATTTCTTGCATGAACCCTAGTTTTCAATTTGGGAATTTTTGAATGGGTTTGTTAACTTCTCTTTGATAATGCAAAATTGATGATGGAATTGCAATGTTACTTGTGCTACATGATGTTTTATGATGAAATTCTTTGTATGCCACTCTTGTGTCACGATATTGCACACACCCACATGTTGAACCTCGATTGTTGAGTTGAAGAAGATGAAGTTGAGTTTTAGGCTAGAACTTGCATTGTGTTGATTTGATGAATTTGTTATAATGTTGGTCTAATTTGTCAAGATTTTTGGAGGGAATTGTTCAAAAAT